CCCTGAAACCTCGTGCTGACCGAACCTGACACTTAGAACTGCTATAAAGAAGATTGGAAGCTACTTCCTTGTATCTTTTTTCTGTTCTATTTTTCTTTTCCTTTTCCCTTCTTTCTTGCATGTTTAGCTCTCTCTTTGATTGCTTTCTTTTTACTTTCTCACTCTGTATTCATGTTTGCCTTTGTTTTTAAAACTTCACAGGACTATTCTGGATGTCAGCCAGAAATATCGGCAGGTACTCAATGTTGTGACTCGGTTAACATGGGTGACTCTTTCAGGCCAGAGTCCAGATTGATATCATGAAATCATGTCACTGCAGGGGTGATGAGTAGATAACTGGAGCCTCTTCTTCCTGATGTTCCAGCATACCGTGGGGACAACAGTGGAAGACCCCAGGTCTGGAAGGAGAGGTCCAATGAGTAAGAAACAGGAGATCCAGGTGAGTTTAAATTTGTTCCAGCTTTGAGTGGAAAACATGCCAGTACTAGTTCACTCTCTTACATGTTCTACACTTTTTAAAAAATCCCTTCAAATCCACTGAAGTCATACCTAACTTTTGCTAGCATGCATGATGTGATGGAATGTATCTGCGAGGAGGAGGGTGATGTGGGAGATCAAGGCTATCAGGAAGGACGGGGTGCATTCCAGGAGGGGAAAGGAGACAAGAGGCAGCATAGTCTGTAGAGGGAGCGTGAGAAGAGAGAGATTCAGGACAGCCACTCCCTAGAATCTCACAGGGTACATCCACTAGTTGCTCTAGTATAGATTGAGTCTGGCAAGATTCTGTCTATAAGGTGTAGGCAAATAAAGGAACTGAACTCACCTGGACTGTTTCTTCGTGGTTCTTGGGCTGGGCCTGACACATATTGACATTTTGCACACATTTATCCTAATATAGGCATGCTTGTATACAGGTTTCTGTAATATATTGGGATTTTACACCCAGCTTTCTCAGATGCACATTCTTTTTTGTCCATAGTTGGATTCCAGCACTCGGTTTTGAGCCTCTTCTCTTTTTGTGTCTTTGTCTCTCGGTCTCTTTCTCCTGCCCAGTCTGCAAACTGTTCAAGCATTATGTAGGGTTTCTAGATAACCTATATGAAGCCCTTACAGATCTAGAATATTGAAGAGTTGGGTGAAATTGACAAGAGTCCTGCCAGTTGTGGAAGACTGGTGTACCTGTCCAGTGGCGTATCAGTCTTATGGAAGTACTGGTTAATCCTTGTCCAAAAATGGTCCAGCTGAAGGCCCAGGGATGAAGGCCAGGCTGGGATGAAGTAGAAAGGATCTCTTACAATACACCATACTGTATGAGATAGCCTACTTCATCTCTCATCCAACCTCTCCCTCACTGATCTGTCTGCTAAGCTGTTTTTGGACCTACATCTACCAAACTTCTGGAAGACCAGTAGAGACATGTTTGTCAATGATCAGAGTGATAGTTTAGTGGTGCAGAGCATCCCTACACTAGTGACCTGTTGCTCTGCAACTTGAGAGGTGGCTAAAGTCTCTGTCCCAGAAGCACACCCTCCCCCCAATCTTTTTAAATAAAAAGGGAGACCTGTTTTGATCAGGGTTGACCTAATGTTCAAAAAATCAGTTCAATAAAAATTAAGCATGCTCAGTCGTGCCAGAATGGAATAATTCAAACATTGGAAAGGATGAGACTCTTATTTTGGAATTGGTTTCACTTCCAAGTAAGGTCAGCTCATCTCTGAACTGAGATGTATGGATGCTACAAATAAGACCCCTGAGGAACTGCTGTTGCTATTGTAAAGGGTAGGGACAGAAATGCAGCTGCCACCGGATAAGGAGCAGAAAAGGACATACCAAATGACCGAGAGGCTAGAAGAGCTCTGCTGAAGAAAAAGTTCCAGTATCTGGATCTTTTAGCTTAAGGAAAAATGGGAGACGTGGGTCACCATAGAGATGCATAAAAGTATGCCTAGCATGGTGAGTGTAGATAGAAAGATTTGTTCTTTTATTCTCATAATATTATGAAAGACAGAGAACTGAGAATCAGTTTGGTCTAGAGGTTAAGATGCTGGACTAGAAACTGGAAGACTGTGAGTTCTGGTCCTCCTTTAGGCATGGAAGCCAGCTGGGTGACCTTGGGCCAGTCCCTCTCTCTCAGCCCAACCCATACCACAGGTGATTGTTGTGGAGAAAATAGGAGGTGGTAACATTATGTACGCCACCTTGAGTTGCATGAAATAAAGGTGGGATATAAATCTAGTAATTCAATGAATATTAGGACTTGGACTCATCCAATGGAACTAAACAGTGGGGGAGTCAGAAAAAAGGAAAGTCTTCATCCATCATCACTAAAATATGCATTTTGCTACTGGGAGATAACGAGGATGGTTGCTCATTTTCAATAGGGAATTACAGAACTCTATTTTTTTTTCCAGTAATGACGATAATGTACATGTGAATATCAACTCCTGGATACAATGAATAAAAGAATGCTATTCCATTTATGTGCCAATTTTGAACTTCCCAGAGATCTCTGGCTGATCACTATGGGAACAGAATGCTAGATTAGATAGACCTGTGGTTTGATCTAGCACCTAAAAATAAATGTTTTGTTTATCTTCTTATTTACTTAATTGATTCCCACACAGACTGGGTGATCAAGGCAGCCAACAACCACAATGAATACAGAAGTAAAATAATCTGATGGAGAGCAGAATTAAAACAAAAATATAAATGTTAAAGCTAAATACAAACAGTGCCAGAGTTCAAGTGGAAGAGGTGGCTTCGAGTCCTTCTCTTGACAACCCAACTCCCAAAGAAATGGTTTCCGTGACTTGGAGGTGATGCAGAAGAAGTCTTCTCTCTGGAGCCAGATGGAAATGTTTCCAAAAGTAGTGGCATCTTTTAGGAAGGCCCCCTCTGCATAGTTAATCTCTTGATAGGGCACAGAATAGATGAAATGATTTCCAGCTATTCAACAAGTACATTTTAAAGTGGTCAAGGCTGAAACCCAAAGTTGCCTGACCCACAACTTTCTATCACACCCTTTCCCCACTACCCACTGTCTGCGCTTTTTCTGTCACGTTCCTTCTCCATCTCTTCTCTCTGTCCAGAAGGTGTAGAAGGACTGGCACCCCGTTTTTGCCAGAAGTCTGAATTCTCCATCATTTTTTAAATATATATAATTCTCCTCCTGCCACCCATTTCTCCCCTGGCCTTTCTGGTGGTCCAAAATATCTTAAGAGGCTTCTCTCCACTCCTGGTTTTTTTCCTCACAGTGGCCATTTCAGCCCCTTTCTGCATTATTTATTTCTACCTACTTTCTTTCCTTTTGGACTCCCTTCCATTGTATAAAATTAGTCCATGCAACCTGAGAATGTTTAATTGACTAGCCACTATTACAAGTACTATCAAGGCTTTGAGAACTTCCTTTTGGAGGGCTGAGCATTATGTTCTTCCATCCTCTTCGGAAGAAGCTCCAGAATGGTGGTGAGCAGACATTATGTTACTAAATTGTCCCTCACCCGGGCTCAGCGCCCCCCCCCAACCCACACAAATTGGGAAGGAGGAAATAAGGCTCCTGGGCTCTGATACATTCCATTCTCTCCTTCTCATGGTCTGGATAGAAAAGGTTAAGGCCAGATTTCGAAAGACGTGCTATATCCTGTAATGCTGTGTCAAGATCGGCCTTTGCAAATTCTCTGAAGTTTTCCCACCCACCCCTACAAATGAAACTCCTATTTTTGTCCCTGATTCTCAAAATGTTTGAGAATTTCTTTCAAATTTCTCTTAGTGCTATGGATCTTCACTTTCTTTTATTGATGGTGATGGCTTAGATGATGTTATCCTCTTTCCCTCACCCTAAAGCTTTCTTGGCTGTCCATCCTACTCAGTCTGAAAAGCCTTGAGACACCCCCCCCACACACACACACACACAATCTCCCTTGGGATTGCATGAAAGTGAAAGGAGCTAAGGAGACTGCAGATTGCCAGAAAAATGATAGCTCAAGGAAAGAAAGGATGTTCACCCATAACCATCACATTGACTGGTGCCCACATTAATATCATTTCAGGGCCAGGTGAAGACTTTTCTATTTCCCAGGCTTTTTAATTGGCTTTTTATTTGTATTGTTTTAGATGTTGAATCACAGCCTTGCTGCTGCCTCATTTATTTGGTGTTTTCATTGTACATTTTATTTGATTTTATTGTACATGTTTTTACTGAAATTATGTTTTCTAAATCACACAGAGAGTTTCAGCTACTGGATAGTTTGAAAAACTGTGGGAAACAGATAAATAAAATAAAATAAACCACCAGGAGCCTCCTAGTTCAGTAAGTTTTACTGGTCTTTATTGGTTAAGAGTCTTTACTGGTCAAAAAAGCAGATTGTAGGGCATGTGATCATGTGATCAAGGCAATGGAAAGATGTGGTATAGAACTAAAGGTTTACAAAGACCACTTTGTCTTGTCCACTCAGATCTAATTAGTTCTGACCTCAAATGTAAAAATGGCACACCTGGAAACTG